GAGGCGAAGCTGTGTGGGTGGGCGACAGGAATGAGCCCGCCGTTGCTAGGGCGAAGTCAAGACAACTGTTGCTCCTCCGCCTTCCGTCCGTCCGGCGGTGGCCCGCAGTGTCCCGTGGTGTCCCGTGGTGTCCCGCTGAGAGGGCGCGCGAGAGGAATGAACCCGCCGTTGGTAGGGCGACGTCAAGACAAATGTTGCTCTTCCGCCTTCCGTCCGTCCAGCGGTGGCCCGCGGTGTCCCGTGGTGTCCCGTGGTGTCCCGTTGAGTCAGATCGATAGTGAGATCGATACTGAGATCGATATTTAGATCGATATTGAGTTCGATGTGGTGCCCCGAGGTGTCCCGTGGTGTCCCAAAAAGTAGGATCGATAGTGAGATCGATAGTGAGATCGAAAGGTGGCCCGTGGTGTCACGTGGTGTCCCGTGTTGTCCCGTTGAGTGAGATCGCTAGTGAGATCCATAATGAGATCGATGTTGTGTCCCAAGGTGTCCCGTGGTGTCCTGTAGTGTCCCGTTGGGTGAGATTGATAGTGAGATCGATAGTGAGACCGATAGTGAGGTTGCCAGGTTTCCCGCGGTGTCCCGTGGGGTCCCGTTGAGTGAGATCGATAGTGAGATCGATAGTGACATCGATATTGAGATCGATTTGGTGGCCCGTGGTGTCCCGTGGTGTCCCAAAAAGTAAGATCGATAGTGAGATCGATAGTGAGATCGACAGGTGTCCCGTGGTGTCCCGTTGAGTGAGATCGATAGTGAGATCGATCTGGTGTCCCGCGGTGTCCCGTGGTGTCCCGTGGTGTCCCGTGGTGTCCCATGGTGTCCTGTTGAGCGAGATCGATAGTGAGATCGATTGAGTCAGATGTTGGTTCCCCCCCTCTCCCACTCCACCACCTCCGTATCACCCGAAGGGTGGTCGTATAGGTACCATGCAAACGAGATTATGATATGTCCCTTGCCAAGATCGTGGGATCATGGAAAACATCATTCGAAATATAATAGCAAGGCACAACAAAGTCAGGCCGAGGGTCGTCGTGGTGATGCTCCAGGCCATATTCAATCTACAGTTGCACCGAACCGCATCTATTCTTCATCGGAGAGCGGGGGCGGCCCGCAGTGCGACTCCGCCGTTGTCAGCGATCATACCGCTCCTGCAATCTCAGACGAAACTGCATCGCCGAGCGGCAGCGCTGCTCTCGCCAGAGCCGAGCGGGAGCGCGGCTCGCTCCGACGTCGTTGCCCGCGCCCAGAACCCAGTGGTTGATTTCAGGTTCGGGGACGTCGCGGACGACTGGCTTCCAGTCCTTGATCAGGTGGGCCCCGGTTCCCTTGACGATCGCGACCTTCGGATCTTTTTCTCAAAGCGCAATCCGGCGGTAACTCGAGGTGGCCCTGGCCGCGGCGAAGACGCCCCCCATGGAGGCCCCACAAAAGGTCGAAAACGAACCCAAATAATGCCTTCCTGTTTCTCCTCGCCCCTCCGGAACGATACCAACAATAGTGGAAGGAGGAGCATGAGCAGGAGGAGGAGGAAAAGTACCCCAACATCAATTATTATTGCGCATAATCGCATTTCGTAGCGTTCGCAATCACCATACGTATGATATGATTAAGTAGAAGAGTAACGGTATAGTAGTACGCCTATAGTGAGAACATTTTTTTTGTGATTGTTTGTAGGGCCCCCCCCCCGGGTTCGACCAGGGGGAGGGAGGGTGGCCTCCCTCAAATGGTTCCGGGCTCCGAACCCCTGGGACCCTGAGAGCCGACGACGACGACGACGACGACGATAACGACGACGACGACGACGACGAGGAAAGCCAGCAAGCGTACACGACGGCAACGACGATGGCGACAGGGGGCCGGCACGCGCAAACGAGCATCACGGCGATGGCGTCGACGACGGCGACGTGGATGACGACGAGGACGACGAGGACGACGACGATGACGACGAGTGTGAATGCTCCGCCCGCTCGACCAGCGTCTGCGGCGTTTGTGACCAATTCTTATCTTTTCTCTTGCACAGTTGTGTTCTAGAGCTCGGACCTCTTTATTTTCGTGGTCGTCGTCGTCCCCCTGGCTCTGGCTTCCCATCCTCGTCGTCGTCTCCCTGCCCCCCATCCAGTAGCCTCCGCGCCCCAACCCGGACCTCGCTCCTGGTCCGAGGCCCAGTCTGCCCTGGCCCTGAACCCAGCCTCCCTCCTTGGCTCTGGCGCCCCCTGGCCCTGGCCCCAGCCCCCCTCGCCCCGGACCCTTTATTTTCGTGGTTCGTCGTCGTCCCCCTGGCTCTGGCCTGCTTCCCCTGGCCCCCTCGCCCCCGTCCGCGTCCCCTGGCCCTGGCCCCAGCCCCCCTCGCCCCGGACCCTTTATTTTCGTGGTTCGTCGTCGTCCCCCTGGCTCTGGCCTGCTTCCCCTGGCCCCCTCGCCCCCTTCTTCCTGCCCTGGCCCTGAACCCAGCCTCCCTCCTTGGCTCTGGCGCCCCCTGGCCCTGGCCCCAGCCCCCCTCGCCCCGGACCCTTTTTTCGTGGTTCGTCGTCGTCCCCCTGGCTCTGGCCTGCTTCCCCTGGCCCCCTCGCCCCCGTCCTCCTGCCCTGGCCCTGAACCCAGCCTCCCTCCTTGGCTCTGGCGCCCCCCCCTCGCCCCGCCCGTGGTTCGTCGTCGTCCCCCTGGCTCTGGCCTGCTTCCCCTGGCCCCCTCGCCCCGTCCTCCTGCCCTGGCCCTGAACCCAGCCTCCCTCCTTGGCTCTGGCGTCCCCTGGCCCTGGCCCCAGCCCCCCTCGCCCCGGACCCTTTATTTTCGTGGTTCGTCGTCGTCCCCCTGGCTCTGGCCTGCTTCCCCTGGCCCCCTCGCCCCCGTCCTCCTGCCCTGGCCCTGAACCCAGCCTCCCTCCTTGGCTCTGGCGTCCCCTGGCCCTGGCCC